CTTACCAGAGATACAAAAGACCTACTCAAAGAAAACTATAAAACACTACTACAAGAAACTACTATTCATAAATGGAAGAACTTGCCTTGTTCATGCATAGGAAGACTGAATATTGTGAAAATGTCAATACTACTCAAAGCAATCTACATATTTAATGCAATCCCAATCCAGATAACAACAAAATATTTTTAAGGATATGAAAAAACAATTACTAACTTCATATAGAAAGGAAAGAGACCTCAGATAAGCAGAGCACTGCTGAAGAAGAAAAACAAAGTGAGAGGTCTCACACTACCGGATTTCAAAACCTACTGTACATCCACAATAGTCAAAACAGCATGGTATTGGTATGATGTTAGACAGACAGACCAATAGAACCAAATTGAAAACCCAGAAATAGACCCATCCATCTGTGGACAGCTGATCTTTGACAAAGAACCAAAGCCCATTAACGGGAAGGAGATAGCCTCTTTAACAATCAACCCCAGGATATGATGGACCTCAAGACCAGAAGAACTAGATGGTGCCCAGCTACCAATGCCAAGCACTTGGGAAGGGATCAAAACTGAAAATCCTGGATAGAGTTGGAGAAAAACATGGAACAAAATTCAAAACCCAATAATGACCAGAATTACTGGTTGAATGGAGTTTGGTGCAACCCCTGAGACTATGGCCCTGGAATACACTTTGGGCCTGGGATAAAACCCACTCCCAAGGGCTGGCTCTCAGCCCAGCAGTAAATAAGACTTACATGCAGAACACTCAATCCAGGGCAATGCACCCACCTACTCTATGGAGATACATCCTTTGGAGCAATCATCCATGAGGCACCAGAGGGGCAACATTCACACGGAGGAAAAGCTGGATACATGGGAGTGCATAAGTAAGAAGGACACAGGGGGTGGGGCATTACTGGGAAGGGAGAGGAGAGTAGGCTAGGGTTGAGGATAGGAATTGGGGAGTGAAATCAAATGCACACGAAATGCTGAATGTAAAACAAATTCTGCTCTGTAAATTTACACCTAAGGCACAATGAACAACAACAACAACAAATGGCCAATACCAGTCCACTTCAGGTCACTAATGCCTAGGATGTCAATTTTTATGCATTCCATTTCATTTTCGAAAACTTCCAATTTTCTTAGATTATACTTTGTACATTCCAGTTCTGATTATTAATGAATGTTTTCAGCTGTTTCTTCTCATTTTGAGTCCTGTCACATCAGCAGATGAAGGTCCCAAGAGTTTTACTCTATCTACGTCATTCAGGT